GTCTCATTGTCACAGGTCGGCTAGAACTATGAGGCGAGTGAAAAGCACTCATCTCATAGTTCTCCTTTAAGGATCTGTTCACACCATGTCCATTGCGCTGTGATTTTCTGCACAACACGGCACACGTATGGTCTGAACAGGTCACAGAATACTATTGTTTTTTATGTGCCCAGTTCACATCATACATGTGTGGTGTTGGAAGTTAAGTGGGTCAGAAGGCAACCACTGAAGTGCCCCATTTTAAATAAACGGTCTTTTCTAGGGGATAAGTAGATTTCGAAGCACTTGGGCATCTACAGGAACAGATATATTTGGGAGTGTAAGGCGTGTACTTTCTGGAATTTGTATGGACATGTCAGTAAGGTGTGCATTTCCCTAGTGACCCCAAGTCATACGTTTACTTGTGTTTTCTATACGCAGTTGACGTACATTTTTTATGGTCAGGACATGTGTACTATTGCAGAGGCCGACAACACCCAAGATCATGTAAAAACTGCCCATCTGATGGGAAAGCCTTTCTGCATCTGCAGCCTGTATTTAATGAGGAGAATGGGGACATCTAGTTAGAACTTTAAGGTAAATATACAGATCTACATAAATATTAACCTCCTCTTCATAATGCACTAACATTTTTCATGGACCTCAGTGTCTGTCAATGGGCCCCGAGAGCCCGCCATCATGGGGTCTAGGACTGGCCTGCAGCATAGTTTGACATGGTTACCAACCAACAAACTGGCAATACCAGTACCAAGACACTCTGAGGTGAGCCACACATCAACCAATCAAACTGAGAAACACATGAAGCTCAACCATCCCATATCTGCTGTTGTGTCAGGAAGGCTGATGGGAATTCTCAAGGTTGGCCATCAGGCAAGCAAGTTTCAACATCATGCTAATGCTGTGAGGTACATCAGATGAGACCCAATGGAGTAGTCTACAGAACGGTGGTAAAAGGAAGCTACATGTGGAGTTACATTGAGAGAGTTACGAGTAGCAGCAGTTCTATTCATGGAGAAGCAATGGAAGAAGGTTCTACGTAGAGACCTTAAAAATGTGCAAACAGTCAGATCAGGCTGCCCAAGACATCTCCTCGGCAGTGGGCAGTCTGATGTGCAACATGTTTGGCCATCTACAGAGCTGAACACCAGTGTATACTGTCCACACTGCTTACAAGACCTTTGCAGCAGTATACAGCACAGCATACACACAGTAATACAGTCCTGAGACCATCAAGTCTTTTATCATTGAACTTTGATATCAGAGTTGATACTTGGCCCTCATGAAGGATGGAAGTTGCCCACAATTAGACAGAGAAGGCCTGAAATATTACACTGCCACTGTTCATGCCCAAAGAGGTGGCTGTGCCTAGTCCAATTCAACCACCCAGTGAGATTTAGATTATGTAGGTGTCAAAAACAAGCAATTATGGCCATCATAACTACTCATTATACACAACATTTTTCCAACTGCCAATCCTGTGCGTGTGCCACGCCTGTCATTGGCAACGTTGAAAGCTACATTGTGGAGAGTCCAAATGGGTTCAGGGATAGAAGAGGTCTACCAAATCTTTCCTTGTGAGACATCTCCCCATCTATAGGTACACTATGCCATCTTCAAGTGGTTGCAACACCCACAGGGGCCCTTTTCAGTGGCTCTACCTTTTCCCTGGGACTTAGAGTACAAGTTCATACTGACAGAGCAACCCTGTCACTGTCCCTTTCACTCAAAGCCAAGGAAATGGCATCACAAATGAAAAAATAAGACCCCTGTGTCACATTCTTCATGGCAGTAACAGAGAATTTATACTATTTTCTTGGCAGGCCACGTCTGTCATTTCAGACATGACCTCATTATATCTGAGTGTTCAAGCTAAGGCACCTCAGGCAGCAATGCAAATGACATGTAAATTTATGGCAAGAAACCAAATTTAATAGGAGGGGCTGGCTGTATGCTGCTAAACTCTTCTCTAGCAGGGCTCTAAAAGTTTGACATGTAAGGCCTCATTCACACGAGACAAGGCCGACACGTACAACTCCCATAGCGTAGGGTGGCATACGGCCGCGTACTCCCATAGAGAAGGACAGGGGCTGCGTACTAATCACACACAGCACCGGTCCTTCCTGGCAGCTGCCCAATATGGCAGTGCACGCGCCAGCCTTTTCTCGTGTGAATGAGGCCTAAAAGCTATTTAAGAAGTGTGTTCTAGAGGAGAAATCATAGGTTGGGGTTTAACAACTGTACCCAGATGGCCACATCAGTATGCCATACGTCAGTGGCTTTTACCATTCTGCTATAAGCTACCGCTTTAGCGACCATGAACTTTTTTCAGAACGGTCCCCTTTAAATTAATAGCCGTCATCAGCCGCTGACAAGCCGCTGAAGACCGCTATTAACAGGAATTCTGGTTGCCCCCACTAGTAATATGTGTCCTCAGTTATGAATGAACAGGAAGTGCGTTACATCCCCCCAACAATAATAAAAACAAAATAAATAACTTAAAAACACACACACGCCATGCATATGCGCTGCGGTGCATTGTTAGAACACATTGCAGTGCTTGTTCTCTTTTTTTTCCCCCTTTTAAGATAACATTTAACTGTGACAACGCATGGCAAAGCTTTGTGAAGCATTGCCGTACGTTGTGATAGGCTATGTTGCAATTAAATGTGCGCCGGCATCATTTTATCACAACCCAAACACCAACGCTAAAACGGCGCAAATTAAAATGTAAAAATATTTGTTATTTATTAACTCAATACAAAAATGGTGTGGCCAGCTGAGGTTAAAAGCGTTTGAGGGTTTGGCAGCGGAAGGGTTTATCATGCACCTGCATCTAACTGCCACTTTCCAATCATTATTCATGGATATCAGAAAGCTTTCAGTAACCTCCCCAGCCTTAGGTATTATTAATAGGGATGCACCGATACTAGTATCGGCATCAGTGTCGATGCTGAGTATTTGGGCAAGTACTCGTACTCACCCAAATGCTCCGATGCCTAGCCCGATACTTCCGGTATCAGGAAGCCGGGCAGCGAGTCATTACACACTGCCCAGCTTCCCGATTGGCCAGGAAGCCAGCTCCATGCTTCCTCGTCACTTGTGATGAGGGAGCATGGAGCCAGCTTCCTGGCCAATCGGGAAGCCTGGCTGCGTGTAATGACTCGCTGCCCGGCTTCCTGATTGGTTGGGAAGCTGGCCAACCAGGAAGCCGGGCGACGTGTAATGACGCGGTGCCCGCCTTTCTCATTGGCCAAGAAGCCGGCTTCATGCTCCCTCATCACCTCATGATGAGGGCGGATAGAGCCGGCTTCCGGCCAGTCAGGAAGCCGGGCGCCGCGTCATTACACGGAGCCCGGCTTCCCGATTGGCCAAAAAGCTAGCTTCATGCTTTCCTGTCACCTAGTGATGAGAAGCATGGAGACGGCATCCCTGCTAATCAGGAAGCCAGGAGGGTAGTCATTACACGCTGCCTGGCTTCCTTAATAGGACTTCTGGTATTGGTATTCGGTATGGGTGAGTACTGAAAAAAAAAATATATCGGTACTCGATAAGGAAAAACCGGTATCGGTGCATCCCTAATTATCACAACCCCCGCCTTGATAACCAACTGATCTTTTCTCTCTCAGAAAGTCGACCACCAACTCTTTACAGAAACACATTTAGTGGAGACACTTCTTCAAACCTCATGTAAAGTTTACGTTGAGCTTGTTCTATGTCATCAATGACGAACCTGAAACTTTGAAGTCTGGTCCTCTGCATCCACAGAAAGAGAAAGCGTGCTCTTTCAGTGACTATTCATGGGATGGTCTAGGATTGGCTACAAGTGGGAACTAGCAAAAGAGAATTGAAAAACTACTGACACTAATGTCAAAGAGGACACTGATATATCGGATTTCATATTTTTTTTCTTGAGATTTGTCAGCAAATGATTCCCTTTTACATACACAGTGAACAGATCTGACTAGGCTTGGTGACCAGCCATGGATGAACCTACATGACAGGAAGTGGGTCTACCTTCACGAAGTCCCACAATGATGTCTAATGAGAGTACAGTCCAGCTGCATCTTCTCTAGGGATGAAGGATGCTGGGACACAACTACACTAACTGGATAAGTGTGGATAGTGCGGTAGCACATACCAAGCAGTTAGAGTTGATCATCAAATTGAGCTTAATCTTGTGAAATCTGATTGGTCAGTATAGGTCCCTGCACTTTAAACATCAACGTCACACTATGAAGAAGCAAAAGTGAAATAATCACAGTGACAGCAAGGGAAACAACTGTCCTACAAATATAAAAGCTTATACAATCCACTTTCTCCACGAAAGGAAAAAAACCTTCTCCCCACAAATTTCCAGCTCTGGAAATTAATAAATAAAAAAGGTGAGAAAGAGCACGAATCCTGAGGATGCAGAGAAGCAGCACTAACAGTCCAGGTTCAAGACCTGCAAAAAAGACGAAACCACAAAAGAGAAGATAGTGAGCCCCATGTATAGGAAGGGTCTGAAAGGAACACGTCCGGCTAGCCACTAAGAACCAATAAGATGACAAGCTAGTGCAGGCCAGATGATAAAAGCAAATATTTCACTGGTGCAAATGAAGAGGCTTTTATCATCATGTCATGCAGAGTCACACCTGCTCAGGTATGGCAACATGCTGGTAGGTTGTTTTTTTTCCCCAGTCTCAAGACACAAGCAGGTATTAAAACCCTTATTTACAGAATCTTCTTCCACGGCAACGGTGCTCAACACCAGCCCTTTTTTGTCCTAGTAGACCTGGAAGTACTTTTTGCCCCACTAGCAAACATCTAACTGGCTGTTAGGGCAATACAAACGATTTCCTGTTGGACACTTCTTATACACGGGGAGACTGCTATAAAAGCCAAGGTTAACACAGAATTCACCACAAGAGGAGCTGAAGGCAAAACAAAGCCAACTTGACAATTTTCCATCCATGTTGGACCCGACATCCTCTGACGAGTCGCACGTTATGATCAGCCAAGGCTGATCAGGCAACAGGTTGTTTTGGGAAGGCATCTGTGCTGCTAAAGCCCAGAGAGGTCCACAATGACCTTGATGAATATTGTATCCTCCCGGATGTAGGAATTTTTGCCCTCCAGCTTGGCGAGGGGGCAGAAGAGAGGGCATCCACTGGCGATGTTCATTTCGCTTACAGGGCGCTGAAAGGAGGAGGAGGTTATGTCCGGCCTGAAGGCATCGATGATGTGTTCCCGATTGTTCTGATCCAGCAACATCAAAGTCACCTGTGAACAGGAACAAGGACAGATATAAAACAGACAATTACGAGTTCAACTCTATGGGCTCGAGTCTGAATGAACAACAGGATGTGTTATATGCGGAAAACTAGTTAAAGTGAACCTGTCTCCAGATCGTGTACAGTACGATACATACAAATAAGGTAAACCGCTTGGGGATATTGGAAAATACTCTGTATTATTTAGCAAATAAGGACTTTTGTCCCCCATGAAGAAGCACTGACCTTTTGGTTAAATGGCCACCTCAGAACGGCATCGCTGGGTCCTTTCATGACCACAAAGAAGAGGGAGAGGTGAGTTCCACGCCCAGTTCCGTCTCCATTCAGGTATATCCTTAGACACATTTTGTAACCATATTTACCGGTATAGAAAGCTGAATAAAAGAAAAAACACAATATTCTATTAGACAGAATGTTTCCTCATCACCATCAGCTGTATGACCAGGGCTAGTGCTGCCACTAGGCAAACTAGGCACTGCCCAGGGTGCAGCATCGACCACTCACCCTCGCCATGGCGCCAACCCCGTCTATGTTAAATTGCAAGAGCCAATAGAAGTCTAGCTATTGCACCCGTCCACTGAGCAGAGGAGCGGAACTGAGAGACAACTTTCTCCTCTGCTCAGTGGCTGGGGTCCTAATAGCCAGTCAGCTATTGGATATTTAAAATTAAATTACACCCACCTGTCGCCTGCAAAAGCTGACCGGCGCGAGAATGGGGCCGCGCAGGGGAGGTGTTGCGCCACAGGAGGGGGGCTTGTGTCTTAATTCTTTATGTACTTTTACATTATTTTTTCAAAATAAAACAATGCAAACTGAAAGGAATAACTTCATACAGGTAAAGAACACTTTGTGCTCAGCAGGCGATACTAATTTAGAAGAATACGTGTGTATTAAATAAAGCAGTTCAAAGAGCTGTGCTAGTTTGCAAAGGGCAAACTAGCTTCTAATGGTTGTTTAGCTTCTAATGGTTAGAGAACAGCCAATAGAAATCTGCTTGGTTGCTTCAGATTAATGTTTATGTACTGACTGCAATAAACGTTCTCAGAGATATATGGTTTATAAGATCGTGTAAATAAACTAAGGGCAGATGAACCTTAGATACTTAGATCCCACCAACCTTGTGAACTTCATCAAGTTCTAAAAGACAGTGCCAGGCCAGCTACAGAAAATACCGTGGCACCAAGAACGGTTATGGACATGATTTGCTATGGCCAGGCCTAGCCCTGATGTGGCTTTTCTGAGGACTGCCGGGAGCAGACCACAACAGTGCAAAAGGCATGGCATCTACATCTGAGGTCTGTAGTCCTATCCTAGATTTTGATAATAAAGGTGAGAAATGGGCTTAGGTTTCTAACTTCAGTTCCACTTAAAATAATCTATACTATTTAATAGAAGGCTATTTAGATATTTCTTGTACTGGCCCCGGAGAGATTTTAATAAATTAGATTGTCTCCTGAAAAAGACACTCCACATACAGTAACTAGCTGTCTGGACCCATCATGCTTTTAAATCAGTAAGTGGCAATGATTTGTAGTAATTTGTAATTACATTGCGGTTATAGTGTGTACCAGTCAAAATTCAAACAGTGTTTTAGGCACCAGGAGGCGTGCTACAGACACTACTGGAACAGTTAGTGGAGTAAGCAGGGGGCACCCGGTATAGTGGAACTGCCCCGCCGTGTCTAGAATCAGACATGTTGCACTGCAATGTAGCTCAAGGTACAAGGCAAGGCCTCCGGTACTCACGAATCCAGCTGCGTGGGTAGCAGAAGAGGGTCAGGCGGCGGAAGGTCACTGTAGGCAGGCAGTAGGGATGAACTAAGGATCGGAGTTCCACGCGTCTCTTGCAATCAGAAGCAGCAGCGAGTATGCACGACACTCCACCCAGCGGATGATGTCAGCATTCAATCTCTTAGCGCTAACTCCTTTCATAATGAGACTGACAGAAAGCAGGAAACTTGTAGGCACCCAGTGGACCTGGTAATGAGGTAACTCCCAGGGCTGGTCCCACACAGCCTCCTCACACAGTGAGTCTTCAGATTCAGGGTCAAGCGCTGAGACAATGCTACAACTCTGGACCTGGGAAACGCTCCGCAGCTACTTTTACCAGTACATGCAGGTCTGGAAAGTGCCAAAATGCAGAGCCCAGTGCCCAAAGGTTACATTCCAGATTAGGTGCACAAATCCAATCCAGTGGGGTCCAAGCATGGTGCTCCAAAGTCAGGCTTAAGACCAGCTCTACATCAATGTAGAAGGAATCTTGATTGAAGAACAAGGTAGCTGGCAAAAAGGGTAGACTTTTACCAGAAGAGCCAAGAAAAGATTTCCACCCTCCTAAGAGATTAACGAAAAACTGAAACATGTTGGTAGTAGTAGTAGGGGTTATCCTGGACTTGCCTACAGCTTTTTTTGCAAATAATTCTGTAGGCAGCAGTATAACCCAACAGTTCAAAACGTCCTATGTCCCTAAAGGACCAGAAAGAAAGTGTTTTTCTTTAAATAGAGGACGCTAAAACACCAAACGCAGATCATCCTTCACTAGTCCACCCCCTGCAACCTGGATTTGGATTTAACTGCCCTTGTCACAAGTTATGAGATGTTCTTTGCATTGTTTAAAGTGATTCTTTGGAAAAAAGTTTGTTTTCCCACTTACACAGATGAGGTGGTCTGGGAGGTGAGGCAACTTCCACCATTAAACCCAGTAAAACCACCTGTGTTTGGGAACTCCAAAACTGGCTTAAAAGGTTTATTGCGCTATGGGCTCAGTGCATTCAAGTGTTTAGTGAGTTTGCTTTACATTCAATCATACGTCTCCCATCGCACTCCTGACCACTGAATCCCAAACAAGTGGTGGGTGCTGCAGTGATAGGTGGACGGTGCCACCACGTTCAGAACAATGAAAAGAAGTCATCGGCCCTCTACCTGTGATACCAATATGTCTTCCATTGAGGCATGTTCATGTTGTCACAAATCAAACATGTTTCGGGGCTGCATGGGGTCCCTTCATCACATTGCTTGCCTAATAAAAGGACTCCATATCGTCGCAAAACAATGTTTGCTTTGTGATAACGTGAACATGAGTCAATAAAAGATGTATTGGTATCCTAGTTTGAGTGACGGTGACTCCACTTTTTATTGCTTTAAATTCTGGCCTGCATTTTATGGCAGCAATACATACAGCAAGACATCTTTGCTGACAAATATATCAAAACCAGACATGACGTGTCCAATAACTGCACAGTTGGCTGGATGTTCTCCCACATGTATACTACCTACATTTCAGCAAAGGGACTTTGTCTTTAAAGCAGGCACCATTATAGATTTCTATGTAGTTCTGGTTATTAATGGCAGCATTATCCCCTATTAATCAGTCTCAGCAATGATGACCTTGAATAAAGAAAATCAGACTTCATATAGCCTTTAGTCCCCTTATTATAGGTAATGAGCTGAAAGAAGTAAATCAATGAACAGGCTCTCCGTGAAAGTGGACTTCACTTTTTCCTGGAAAATCTCTTTACCAAATAAATGCACAGTAAATGGACTATTCACAGATGCTTCTCCCCTCAGCTCCTCTACTTTTCTTTACAAGTGTGTCATTTTTTATAGCCAGCCATTAAAATCCATGCACTAAGGGTGCAATGGAAGCCAATTAAATTTTTGACGAACAGCTGCGTGGCGCTGGGCAGACCTCAAAAGCGAAAAGTTCCAGGGAGCTCATTTTGAGGATGGTATGGTACATTGCAAACATACTCAGAAAGTAGATACTCTAAGAACATCCAACATGCTCATCACGCACGTTTCCTTTCACTGCCCACAAAAGCAAGAGGACTTAACCTGGCCATACACTGGTAGATTTTTGTACCAACGTTTATATGAAAATCTGGTCAAAACATTTCATAATTCCACCAGAGACCTGACGAATGTTAATATTTTTTATCAACAAACAATTTGAACTATAAGCCAATCAAGCAAATGTAACGAAAACATTTTTTGCACAAAATGGTAACCGTGTCTACCCAGCTTTAGCAATAAACAAATAAACACCCTTGTACAGTCTCAAGCACTGCACTTGTTGCTGTTCTTCAAGGGTACCTAAACCCAAAAACAAAACTTAGATTTTTGCCCTTTGCACTCTTAAATATACTCAGGACCCCACTCCTCTATGTTATGTAGAATAGGAGAGAGGTGAAGTTTCATGGTCCTATCTTTTTTCTGTTATCCTGATTAAGTTCAGTGCAAAATCAGCAGGTGAAAATGGAGGAAGAAAACGAATGTAGCCACCACATCTAAGCACTAGTACGTTGCAGTATATTCTATTTGTGTTTCTGGGTTTAGAATGTTTTTTCTCTATGGTAAAACGTTAAACAACACTGTTTTCCAGGTTGAAAGAAAAAGTAATTCAGGAACACAGAGAGCAAGGTGAAGAGTTGCCCATTCCCAGGCTTAGTGGTTATATAGTCCAGGTAAAAGATGATTTATAGAACCCCATATGGACAAGTTCCTATTTGCTCGGCTAGTTCTGGCCTTCAGAATGGGAGGGGCATCCAGACACTGGTATAAGAAACTTTTCTGCTGGAATGGGAAATTTTTGAATGTCTTGGCTGACAATTTCTGTTCTCAAGCACCAGTAGAATCCACCAGAAGACGAGTTGACATGGTTTTTCTAAACCATAGTTCATGAAGCTCTCCCAAATATGAATTGCTCTATGGCGTTTTGCTGTGTAAACTGCAATACATATGTCACATATGTCAATATAACAACAGATACAATTGTTTGTCCACTTTTGAAGAAAAAGTGGGAAACTCCTATTGCCTCAAGGATGTATCCAGCAGTAGAGATTTAGTTTCTTTGATCAGACCAGTGTTGCCTCTCGTCCTATCAAAAGAATACCAACAAGTAAAAAAAATGGAAAAAACAAACAGTTAGTGCAGTGCTTCCCAAAGTGTGCAACATGTAGTACACCACTAGTACACATCAGGGCTGTGTAGGATGAAGCACAGAAAGAAGACCCTTATAAACCATGGCATAACTACTCCCTTGACTGCCTAAGGGCTTACTCCTGTGAAACGATAGGTTCATTCAAGTGGTAACTACATGGAAGGAGCTTGGTGATTTAAACCACGCACTGTAAAATTCTTCTTAATTTGGTCTTTAGTGGCAATAGCCAAGATGAGCCTGTGTTAATGAAATGCCCTATCCTTCAAAGGGGGGGGGGGGAGAATGGGACACTGTACAGGGGTTCACATTTCTAAAAGATACAGCTGCCATGGAACAGGCAGGTGGTCGCACACAACTGAAAAATATCTAGCAAGCACTGAATAGAATAAAAGAGATGCACCAAAAAAAGTGACCTTTGGTCCTGCAAACCATTAAATGGCTAAAGGAGTTTCACATTTACTCCATAAAGGTGAAAATTCCTTTAAATTCAATAGCAGTTCCTCCATGTGGATAATTTCCAGTGATCTGTTCCAGTGATGTGCTACCTACACATTCCTTAAGCTCAATGATCTCCATTAGATACCCTTTCTATGTCCCACATAACTCCACCAAGCTGTTATAGAGGACTCACGAGGGGAGAACATGGCTGGGCAGCGGCCGAGAATAGCATCCTGCCGCTTCTTTGCAATCTCTGGAATTTTCCAGACAAATATTCCATCAAAGGTAGAAAGTTCTGCCTCCTGTAGCCTTGTCTCCAGTTCTACTAGCTGTAGGTCCTTTTGTCCTAGCGTTCGCTCCAGTTGTCTCACCTGTGGACACAAGAGATCAAAAGAGGTTAAGACGTTTTGTGGAGGTTTATTAGCTACATATACGAGTGTGATGTGCTTGAAGCTTAGGCTGGGTTCACACCTAGGCATATCAAATATGCGCGTTTGTTGCACGTTTCTACTGCGATTCGCGGTTAAAAAAAACGCGCAACAAACGCACATTTCCGAGGGCTACCTGGCTGTATCCCAATGGATACACGCGGCAAATATGCCCCAAAGAAGATCCTGTACTTCTTTCGGCATAGGGCGTTTTGCAGCGCGTTCCTACGCACTGTAAAACGCCCAGGTGGGAACCATGCCCATAGGCAATCATTGGTTTTCACATGTTGAGCGTTTTACAGAGCGTAGGAATGCGCTGTAAAAACACCAGGTGTGAACCAGGCCTTAGTGTAGTCAACCTCTTAACTTCATTCATCTTATACAACTTGCTGACTTGTCAACTAAATACCTGCCCAGTATCCTTTTTTCCTCCTAATTATTCTCAGTCAAAGTCTATTAAAATTGCAGATTACTAGTGTGTTTTTCTTAGTTCCAGATACACCCTTTCTAGCTGTCACATGGTTTTGCTGTGCTACCTCCAGCTGCAGACTTAACTAGCAGCACTGTGAAAACCTCTCTGAATGGCTGATTGACAAGAAACTCAGATTAAAAGTGACATTAAACTGACAACGTCAACATCAGCTGCAGTGTTCTTTGGGTCCCATTAGCAGTGTACCTAAAGAAGGCTAGGTTCATATAGGAACAGGATGCAGAAGAGCCTCACTATCTGTGACATCCAGGCTCTGCCCTGTCACAATGTGAGTGCAGAAGAGCTTCTAGGAGGTGCAACTGTGATATATGCAACGGTGTGGCCCCAATCATGAAAATATCAAGTGCAATTTTTCTTTACAGATTCTTACAGCTCAGCTTACTCTTGACTTATTCAAAGCTGCTTTTGAACTGAAACCCTAACCCAACCTAAAGATTTGGAGATGAAATGGTTACATTTGGTGTCAGTTTATTAACAAATAAATCAGCACAAACACTTAGCATAGCTCAAAGATAATAAGTGTAATAGTACAAATAATAATGTTAGCACCAGGTTTAGGAGTAGGGGTTCCATGGAAAAGTTCATGTTAAGGGTTAGGTTTGCTGGTTAAGTTGGGGTTCAAAATTGAAGATCCAATAATTTTTTCTTGCTTTGGGGCAGGTCTGGTCTATGAAACCCTCTAACCTCCGCTTGAAAACATTAATTCAAGCAGCTCCAAACCTGCTCTAAAGGCCCACCAAGAAGATATTTCCAATTTCTTGCTGGAGAAGCCTCAAGTATTATGAAAGAATGACCTCTAAACATAGGGCTCCAGCCTGTAGAAAAGACTCAAGGCATCCTTTCAGAATCACCTTAGCATTAAGGATATCAATCTTCTCCTGATCTGTCCTTCGCAGCTTCATGGCCTCCTCAGTAGCTATGCTTGCCCTCTCCACCTCTTTGTTGAGGACACAGACAATATTTTCCATGACTGTGCTCTTCTTCTCCAATGTCTCGAACCTACGTAGCAAATCCGGGACTGTAGCAGTGTCCGATGTTGAATGCAAAGCAGCCAGGGAAGCTGGGTTGCCCTGCACTGACAGCGACCCCAGGCGTTGGGTGACATCGCTCAGCTCCTTTCGGTGCGGCTGGATAAACTCCCATACTTTAGCCAAGTGTTCAGGCAAGAACTTGGTTTCATGCTCAAGGCACTTATCGTTCTCCACCTATGTACAAAGAGAAGAGGTTAGTGGTTGAAGAATAATCTGAACCAATATTCATTAGGAACTACATTCTACAAAAAAAAAAAACCTAGGGTTCCAGTGGCAGTGCTCTAATATATGCAACGTGTTCAGTAAAAGGTAAATCAAGAGCCTCCTGACATCACTGCCTAGAATATATTGTATACAGTAGATGGTGCAGTCCACATTACTGAACAAAGCTAAATATAGTTTTCTGGTTAATCTTCTCTTACACGATCCAGGTAGTAGAATGATTTCTGTCATGGGATCATCAGAAGTAATTACAGGTAAATATGATTCTAGTTCTTCAAAAGGAAGAAAGATAACTGCCATGATCACACTGATTGCAGCACTGCACAATTAAAGCAGATCTACACCTTATGTTTGGGTCCAATGTGTCCAGTTAGATAGGCCTTAGAGAGGGTGGCAGGTATTTGAAAGTCTCCATATATATTTACCTACCAGCTGTAATACTCCTATCATACACTGGCACCACATCATTGATTGCAAAAGATTTTATAGAATGTTGGGTTTGGTCACCTACACAGTCCAATTGATTGATGCTCAAACTGGATGTATCATGAGCTAAGATTAGCTCATGTATGACAGTGACTCCATCCTTATGATTCCGACTTAGCTGAATGACAATACATGTAAGAAGAGAGACCTAGTGTCACATTGTTGCTGGCTAATAGGTTGTCAACGGGACAGCTTCCTTTTTAGCTCTAATGTTAATGCAGCACTACATAGAGCACCTCATGGGGATCTTGCATGATATGCACTAGCCAGTGGCTGTCCATGTTTGGTGGAACATTATACGCGTGTTTACGTGGCGACGCGTGTGCTCGCGGGGGCGGGGAACTTGAAAAACATTTTTTTTATTATTATTAGATTGATTTTATTTAATTTTAATTGAAAAAGCTTTTTTTTTTTTTTTTTTTTTTAACTTTACTTTGACTGCTATCACATAGAGCGGCTTACAAGCCCACCTGGGGCGGTCCCTTCTTTGGGACACAGAAGCGATCTGGCGACAGGTAAGTCGCCAGGATCACTTCTGTTGTAAAGCCGACAGTCGGCTCTACAAGTTTAAACAGAGTCCCAGCGGCAAAAGTCGCCGGGAGTCTGTTTAAACAGCCCCGATGCTGGCGACGTACACTGTACGTCGTCAGTCACAAAGGGGTTAAAAACCCCCATGCTTATGTGCGTTTATTCTGATCGCTTGAGCAAAGCTTACCATCTCTGTGCAACCAGCCACAAAATAACGACACGGCACTCTGCAACGGCCACACGACTTGACATGATCCTGGAACTGAGAAAGAAAAACAAGTCAGACATTGCACATTTATGGGTAACCTTCTACCACAGCCATTTTAAAGTGACAGTAGAATTGCTTTGCAGTTGTCCAAGTCTTAAAATGGAACTCTATAAAACTTTTTTTTAGGTGGGAGAAAGTTAGATATTCACATTGGTTTTTACTGCTGTCTTGTCAGAGATATGACAGAAAGGGAGAGAAATTCCGCATATTGCACAATGCACAGATGTCACTATGACACTTCATTTGGAGATTTTTCTCCTTCCATTCCGGTGACAAACGTCAAAATTCTGGATTTCCCCTCAACTCTCTCTCCAACAGAGTGTGCTTCCATAGACGCACACAGCTTGTAGAAAGCCATGCTCCCACTGTCATATTTTGACTGACAGTAGAAGGAGCTTATGGGTCCTCTGTCCTCAGTACCTCCCCCCAGTACCAAGGAGTTCGGGGAAAGCCACGCATCTTTTTGGTCTCGGTGGAGGAGACTGACTGCAGGGGGGGAGACGACACAAAAAAGGTATTGGGTGTTTACCTTAATGCAGAGAATGCAGTGAGGTAAAAAAACATCTAGCCTTTAGTGATACTTTAACATTTTCTGCCTTTCTGGTCATTTTCTTAATGCTATAAGTTAGCACTTCTTAATCCCAATGTGCTTCACTTTTTTTTATTTTAAATCTGGTGGGGGTTTTTTTTTTAATGTGTACATAGATGCGCATATGTATAAATAATCCACCTCTGTGATTATATCTGATGAAATCCTCACTCACCAGATGTCTCTAATCATACAGCCTTTATGTGCAAAGATCTGCCTCTCTGCATGTGGAGACGGGCATGGAGGAGAGAGATGAAAAGCAAAGACCAGAAAATAATTCCCCAATTATTTAAGGGGGAGAGATTTAAAAACTCCTAGTGTAGTAATTCTTAGAAAATCAGCTTTATTAAAAATAGATTAAGAATACTCACAAACATAAAAAGTAAACAATCGCTTAAAAGAAATTAATCTCTGCTCTGCTCCGTATCTCTTGTTGGCTCCTAGGAGTTTTTACATCTCCCCCCCTCCTCCCCCAGAACCATTGGGGAACGAATTTCTGAGTTTACCGGCATTATTTGCATGGACACTGGAATGATGTTTAAAGACACTTATTACTATTTAAAGTCATCTTTTGCACTTGAGCAATCTATAAAGAATTAATTGTGGTCTATTTATGCTTCACATGGTTTTACCATTTATTTAAGGATATTTATTGATGAATTTTTAGTCACTGAACCACGTTACACTGTTTAGCGCAGTGCAATTTGACACAACCCTCCCTTCTGCTCCTGGGAAATGGAAGAGGAAATATTTTAAGCATTGGCCTCATCAGTCTATTGGGTAAATAGAGGGAAATTGCTCAGTGGTTTCTCTGGCGTATTCAAGGATTGAAAGACTTCAAATCACCTGTCCAAAAGATAGCTACCCATCTACAGCCACCCTTAGCGGTCATTGTGTAGCAAAACTGCCTTCTTCATCACTATTTTTTGTAATTGCAGACAAAAGAAGGTCCCTTTAAAAACACAGTTACAGGGATCCAGTGGTAGAAAAATTAAGTAGGGGGGAGCACAGACCTAAAGATGCCCAATGAATAGCAATGAACCATACTCTATTAGACTATTACAAACCACTAGGGGCAATGAGATAAGTATCCACCTGATCCACCAGGCACTTTCATTTCAGGCACTATTATATAAGAAGGGTCACGGATTACCAGATTAGAGGGAGGATTTATGTTGTGTTATTTTTTTGTTACGAGATTTAAACCATTCTACACTTCATTCTCTACATAAATAACCAAAAACGCCTTTTGGTTGGTGTTCCACTTTATCTCAGTTTTCAGCCCAGGTCTTAAAGACAAAGGAATTACCTTCTCTCTGGGGATCTTTTTCTTGCCACAGCCTTCACACGTCATTGGAAATTTAGGGCAGATCTCATCATGAGCCTATATGTACCAGAAACAGAGAGAGTAGGTAAATGGTCATCAGTGCAGAAGACTGGGAAATGACCACAGCAAAACGTTTACTGCCTTTAAAGTGGGCCCTTACCCCTTTGACTAAAAATCACATTAGCGTGCAGCTCTGCATGCTGATATGAAATCATTTTACATTCATTAGCTAAACAAACATTTTTATTTCACTTGCATATTTTTTTTTTCAACTTCCTGGTCCACTGGCACAAATGATGTAAATCATGCCCAAGCAATGCATCCCAGGGAAGATTACATTAGCAGTGCATTGCTGGGAAATCTCATTACATTCTCAGGGAAAGGCATTTTCCTGCCCTGAGATAATGTGCATGGTCAAATGTCTTAGTCACATGTGCCAGAGATCCAGGATGTAAAAGTAGATCTATTAATCTGCCCTTAGTAAAAATGGCCACTGTGAAAAGAATGGGGAGGAAAACAAATAACGCATGCAAAAAATAAAAGCTGGCAATTATCTAGAACAGGGGTGGCAAACTCCGGCCCTCCAGCTGTTGTGATATTTACAATATTTACTGCATGCATTGGTGGCTTCTTCTACCTTCTAGCTGCTTTTTTGATTTTGGATTGATATACATAAGCAAAAAGGTGTTAATTTATGCTGCTGTGGGATTAGACACCATGCTGATATCTAAATCACATCAGAAGAAAAAAGCCTTTCCCAAAGCAACACAAAAACATGACCAAAAAATGTATACAGACCAGACTAACAGACCCTGTGCCAGTTGGACTATTTGAGGAGATGCTGGCACATTACAGCCTGCAATCAATTTGCTTACAAAAGTAGTCAGAAATATAGAAACCCTTGTTTCGTACTGCACCGGACCACCTCTGGCCATGCTGACTCCATGGGAGTCAGGTAGCATAGAGGTGTTAAACATTAATGCAGACATTGGTGTTTCGGCCATTCAAAGCGGATGGGCGTGTGCTCTCTTCTACAAATGCTGCATTGATGTTCATCCCAAAGGTGTCATGGCACACTGAATCCATCATGTTGGTGCCGCTGAAACCAGGGCCATCAGACAAAATGTTTTCCTAGTCTTCTACATTCTGCTGCTGATGTCACTTATGAGCAACAGGCATCACTGTGGCTTAGTGAGCAGCACCGTGGTTTTAGTGGTTAAACACTTCTGCCTTGCAGCGCCAGGGTGCTCAGTTGGCACTCCAATCAGAATATATCTGCATGATCTCCCTGTACTTGAATGGGTTCCTCCAGGTACTACGGTTTCCTTTGACACTTCAAAGTCATGCTGCTAGGTTAACTGGTTCCTGTCTAAAGCGGCTCTAGCATGTGTATGTATGAATGCATGCATGTGAGATAGGAAACTTAGATTGTAAGCTCCTTGAGGGCAAGGACTGATGTGATCGTGCAATATGCAAAGTGCTGCAAAACTTGCTGATATTATATAAATGCCTGTAATAAATGAAATAAGATAAGATAAGGTGTTACAATTTGATTATTATATTGGTGCTATGTGTGGGCAGTTGTAAGGGCAGCAATTGTCAGCCTTCAAGTGACCTTTAACCTCTCCGACTCAAGTAGCCGATTTAGTACATATTACAGAGGCATGGTCCACTGTTGTCACCATCAGGAAACCTGTCCTGAGAAATGCCATGCAGCCATTGTTGGAGTGTAGGTACACAAGATGTGACTAAATGAGGCTGTAGAAGATCAGCAGCCCTAATATGCAGAAAAGCTAAAAAGAAAGTGAAAATGGCAGTACAGTGGTACCTCGGTTCGCGAACAGGAAGTTTGGTAAAATGTTGCCTCTGTTTGCGAAATCTGCATCGGGTGACGAACACGAACGTGGCCATTTTCCCCACTCTGACACGTGGTCGTGGCTTCCTCTAGTCAAGATCGCGGTCACAGACAGACCTGTGCACACTTGCAGTGAAGCTTTTTTGTGCGATTTTTAGCACACAGTACTGTACAGTATCATTCAATCCAGCATGGCTCCAAAGAAAGTGCAGCGCGGTAATGAAGGTGACCAGAACGTGCAGCGCGGTAATGAAGGTGACCAGACCGTGCAGCGCGGTAATGAAGGTGACCACAACATGCAGCGCGGTAATGAAGGTGACCACAACGTGCAGCGCGGTAATGAAGGCGACCACAACGTGCAGAGCGGTAATTAAGGCGACCACAACGTGCAGAGCGGTAATTAAGGCGACCACAACGTGCAGAGCGGTAATGAAGGCGACCACAACGTGCAGAGCGGTAATGAAGGCGACCAGAGCGGTAATGAGGGCGACCAGAACTTGCAGAGCGATAATGAGGGAGACCAGAACTTGCAGAGCGATAATGAGGGAGACCAGAACGTGCAGAGCGGTAATAAAGGTGACCAGAACGCGCAGATCGGTAATGAAGGTGACCAGAACGTGCAGAGCGGTAATGAATGTGACCAGAACGTGCAGAGCGGTAATGAAGGTGACCAGAACGTGCAGAGCGGTAATGAAGGTGACCAGAACGTGCAGATCAGTAATGAAGGTGACCAGAACGTGCAGAGCGGTAATGAAGGTGACCAGAACGAGCAGAGCCAGAATGGTAAGAAGAAGGTTTTGAAGAAAATTACCATTGAATTGGAGGAAGGAAATTGTAGAAAAGCATGATCGTGGTATTCATGTGACTGATCTGGCCTCAGAGTACAAGATGGCGAAGTCGACCGTCTCTACTATTTTGAAGAATAAAGATGCCATCAAAAGGAGCTGATGTGGCAAAGGGAGTAAATGATGTTAACCAAGCAGAGGACACAAGTACTGGAAGAGGTGGAAAAAGGTTTGTTATTGTGGTTGAATGAGAAACAGCTGGCAGGTGATAGTGTTAGTGAAGCTGTGATCTGTGAAAAAGCCAGGAATTTGCAGAGTGATTTACTGCAACAAAACCCCTCCACAAGTTCCTCTAGTGATGAATTTAAAGCCAGTAGAGGGTGGTTTCCGCAAGAGAAGTGGCATCCACAGTGTGATAAGACATGGTGAGGCTTCCACTTCTGACAAGGCCGTTGCAAAAGCCTACAAGAAAGAATTTGCGGAATTCATGAAGGCAGAAGGACACGTCGCTCAACAAGTGTTCAACTATGATGAAACCTATATCACGCAGGAGGAAAAGGCACTGCTGGGGCTCAAGCCCATGAAGGACAGATTGACCCTTTTGCTGTGTGCGAACGCAAGCGCCGATCTGAAGATTAAGCCCCTACTGGTGTACCATTCCCAGACCCCTCGAGCATTCAAGAAACAGAATGTGAACAAGGCCAGACTGCCTGTCATGTGGAGCTCCAATGCGAAAGCTTGGGTCACAAGGCAATTGTTCATGGAATGGCTGCACGAGGTGTTCGCACCCACCGTTAAGAAATATCTTTCCGACAACCAACTGCCTGAGAGGTGCCTTCTTCTGATGGACAATGCCCCGGCACACCCTCCAGCCTTGGTGGATGATATGGACGCTGAGTATGACATCATCAAGGCCAAGTTCCTCCCCCCCAACACGACACCTCTTCTGCAGCCCATGGACCAGCAAGTGATCTGCAACTTCAAGAAGCTGTACACAAAGGCGCTCTTCACCAGGTGTTTTAATGTCACTGAACAGACGTCCTCGACTCTGAAAGAGTTCTGGACGAAACATTTCAATGTCCTCCACTGCATCAACCTCATTGACAAAGCGTGGGAAGATGTCACGTACCAGACCTTAAACTCACCCTGGAGGAAACTGTGGCCAGAATGTGTCACTGAACGCGACGCGGAAGAGTCTGATGCACAGGTAGTGGAGGAGATTGTGTCCATGGGCAAAGAGTATGGGTCTGGACGTCGATGGTGCAGACATTGAGGAGCTTGTTGAGGACCATAAGGAGGAGCTCACAACAGAAGAAGAACTTGCTGAACTCCAGAGGGCGCAGCAGAAGGCGCTTGTTGAGGGGCATTCCACAGAGGAAGAGGAAGACAGGGAGGAGGTTAGCAGTGATGTTATAAAGTCCATTATGGAAAAATGGAATGAGTGCCAGGATTTCTTTGAGAAGCACCACCCCAAAATAACTGTGACGAACAGAGTCTTGAATCTGATGGACAACGTGGAGGGTTATGCAATGCAGGAAAAAACAACAACTGACAGACAGATTTTTCGCAAAAATTTACCTTGCAGCTAAGAGACAAAGAAGAGAGGAAACCCCTGAAGGAGATCTCCCCGATGTCCTTATGGAGGGGGACTTTCCCCTCCAAACAATAACCTCCTCCCCACCCACCTTCCTGTCCTCCATGCCAGAAGTCGCCCCAAGAAAGGTTAGTGTTCACTCTCTTCATAATGTACTGTACTGTACTTGGTTTCATATTTTTGTGGTTAAAATTTTTTGTACATATGGTTAAGAAATGATTAACCTCATTTACATTGAGCCCTATGGGAAAATGTGATTCTGTTTGCGACCAAAATCGGTTCGCGACCACGTCCATAGGGGTCAGAACGGATTAACCTTATTTACATTGAACCTTATGGGGAAATTTGATTCAGTTCGCCACCAGAATCGACCAGAATTGTAGAACCAATTAAGTTCGTGAACCGAGGTACAACTGTATTTAATATTAAAATAATATGTTGTCTGCCGTTATCCAATACAACCTTGAGCTCATCCATCAGTGTTTCTTGTGACAACCCACAGTTGAATGATAATGTTAATTGCTTTATTGCGGATGGCAGGTCCCCACAAGGGCTAAAGCTGCCCAACATCTGCTATATTCACCCTACTTAAGTGACATTGGACCTACAAAAGGGCATCAGTGGTCTTGGCAGTCCTCGAGCACACCTTGTACTGGGGTTTCATATTTTTTTAATAAGTCCATCAGTTCAAGATTTAAGTTCATCCTCTAATCCGTCCACACTGAAAGAGGCTGTCAAGTTATGTCACACCAGGGTCGTTCCACATCTAGACTCCGGCATAGGCTCACTTTGGCAGCTATGTTTCTACTTTCCTAGCCATTAGCTGTATGTCCACACACAGGTGATAAAAAAAAAAAAAAAAAAAAAAAAAAATTTAC